ATATATATATACATACATGCATACACATGTGTGCATACATATGCTATACGTATATACACATGGGTTATATGTGCACATCTACACACAGTACACATACAAACAAATATAAACCATATATGAATATATGAAACATGTATCTAGATTGATATAAATATAAATACACATACTGGATTCAGGAAGACCTGAGTTCAAATCCAGTGACAGACATTTACTAGCTGTGTGACCCTGGGCAAGTTATTTAATCCCTGTTTGCCTCAATTTACTCAAATGTTAAATGGAGGTAATAATAGCACCTACCTCCCAGGATTATTATGAAGATCAAATTAGATAATAATTATAAAGAGCAAAGCACAGTTTCTGGCAAATAGTAAGTTCTATATGCTTGCTATCATCATCATTGTTATTATATATTTATAAATGTTTTGATAACTATTTCAATATAATTGAATTTGCAATTTTATTTATTTTATTTTATGCATTTAAAAACATGATTCTGAGAAGGGGTCCATTGGGTTCACCAGACTGTCACAAGGGTCCATGACACAAAAAAAGTTAAGGACCCCTCTCACCCCCTGTCTCACCTCTAATCCTGTCTTACTATTGCTCCTGATGCTAAAGGGATTCTCACCATTGATGCTTCTTTTCTCTCTCCATTTCCTAGTCATGAGTGAGTACTCATGGGTTAATGATAGTTCTAGGGGACTCAGAGGCCTAGAAATCGTGTTCTTATTCTTTCTATTTTCTCAAAGACGGGGCTTCTAAAAACAGATCAGCTCCTGCTTTAAGAGACAGATTGTATCCGACTCACCTGCAGGAGGCTTATTGGATCGACAGAGCACAAGACTGAGGCCTCTTCTCCTCCCGTGGGTGCTCAGGGCTCCCAAAAAGCTCAAAGGCAACATAAGATTGCAGCACATGCGCTTAACAGCCTGGATCTTCAGCTCTGATCAAGGCTCCAACATGCTCATGATGTAAGATTAATCACAGACACATGCACACATTTTGGCTCTCTTGCAGAGCATGCGGGCTTTTTTTTAATAGTCCAAGCTCACTATTCTGGCCTGGAATCTCGCTCAGTGAAAAGTTACCATTCTTACAATAGGCCCTGCAGGAGCACAGTTGCTAAGATACAGCCCTGGGACCGGGGGGGGGGGGGGGGGGTAGAACTCTTTTTCATGGCTCCATCTCATTGTACAGTTGGACTGCTCATGATCAGGGGCACATGAGCAGCTGTTCCCATTGTTTATCTGATGCCTTTTTCCTCCCTGGCACTACAGAATGGAATAGATTGGAGGGAGCCTATATTTTACATTGCAAAGGGGATGGGAACCCACCCAGGCCAGCATTTCAATGAGACAGAAACAGGATATTTGATCTGTCAGAGCCTAATTCTCAGGGGAGACATAATGTTGTCATCAGAGAATACTAGACATGGTATCATGAGAATAAATTTTAAAAATGTAATTACAAAATATTAAATTAGTTAAATCATTTAGGAAAATTTTAGACCCATCTCTATTAGAAGATGGATAAAAGTCACCTCCACGCTTCTCTGAGCAGCTAATACGCTGAGAAATTCATAAGCTAATCTCTACAACCAGAGAAGGAGGACCCTTGGAGTCAGCAAACAACTTCACAAGCAGAAAGAAATGGTTCAAGGTATGAGAGGGCAATAAGGAGAAGGAATTGAGAAAGGAGAATTCTTTTTTTTTCCCTCCTACTCTAAATCCAGGTTTTAAAAAAAATCAAGTAATCCAGCCAAGTGTTTTCAATCTTTTTCAGTCCCTAATACACCTTGGCTTTCAGCAAATCTTCCCATACCACTTATTTATCATGAAATGAAATGAATTCTAGAGTTTATCATGCACGTACACATGATAAATGAGATCAAATGAAGGGATTAACTTTTTATAAAGAAAAATTTATTTGACACATTTTTTTTAGTGTCATAAGGTTGTTCTTTCTCTATTCCTCAACTTTGTTTACTCACTATCAATAAGATAATATAGTTAATTGTACTTTGGCAAGTTTCTTCTATCTTTCTGGGGAATATGTTAGCCAAAGTTGAGAACCTTTGATCTAATCTCTTAAGTATCTACTAAGAAAATAAAACTAATCATAAGTTTACTCTGTCTGGATTGTGGGTGGGGGAGGTAAGAGACATAAAATGCATCCATAAAGTCCTGCAAGGTAAAAATATTCACAAGTCACTTTCCTCCAAAGTCAGCAAAACACACACAATTCAGAAGATGAACACCATTCTATTATCTTCTCTCTTTCTACATTTTCTTCTTTGACAATTTCATCTAGTGTTATAGTTTCAGATAGAAATTTTCCTTGAATGAATCCCAAATCTAGATCGTTTGTCCTATCTTTCTAATCTTCAATCTCCAAATTCCAACTAAATTCCGGTCATGTCCAATTGGATGCTATTCAATCCATCCTAAAATAAAATCATTCTTCCAGCCACCTCCACTAAAATGCTTACCATCGACTTCAATTCCCTTCCTGTGCTCCCATTAATTCAGTGTAAGTAGGACCTTTGTTACTTCCTGTCAGAACCCTCACTAATGAGTTTTTCACTCACTCTATTCCCTCTCCCCTTTTCTTCTTTAACATGCTAACTTCCTAATGGACAATTCTGATCCAGTTCCTTCCCTGATCAAAAGACTTCAGTGGTTCCCTATTAAGACATCCAAAGCCCTTCTGGATCTCGGTCTAACCCACTTGTCCAGATTTTTATCATATTAATTCACTCCTCCAAATTATACTGCAACCAACATGAATCACTTGTCATTCCCTGAACACTCTCCTATTTCTGTGCCTTTGCTCAAGCTATTACTTGGAATGCCCTTCTCTTCCACATCTCTGTCTACTGAAATCTTACCATCAGAGATCATGTTATCTCCTCTATGAAGCTTTCTGAGATTCCCTAACCAGAAATAATCTCTTTTTCCTCTTAATTCCCATAACACTTTATACATGCCTCTCCAGAAATTATAATGTATGTCTTGAAATAGAGTTGTCTTTGCACATATTTTATCTTTCCTACTATATTGTAAACTTCTTGAAGGTAAAAATTCTCTCATTTTTCTTCATATTTTTCACAGAGCCTAGCAATACAGTTAATGTTCAGTTAATAATTATTGGGCATATACATGAGTTGAGTTGCTAAGAGAAACTAGGGTCAGGGAGGGGGCAGGGAGAAGAGTTCAATCACTCATTCCTTCATTCAAGAAAGATTATGTTTCCTACCACGTATGTGCCTCTAGAGAATCGGGTTAGGCACTAAGGCAAAGATGCTTAAATTTTTTTCTGTCATAGATCCCTTTGACAATCTGGTGGACCTCTTCTCAGAATAAAGTTTTTAAATGCATGAATAAAACAGGATTGCAAAGCAAAACAATTATGTTGAAATATAGTTATCAAAATATTTTTTAAAAATAAATTCCAGATCCCAGGTTAAGAACTTGAATCACTAAGTAGACCTAGAGAGATAAGACATAATTCCCTGCCTTCATGGAATTCACAGTCTAGTGGGATAAATTCTACACATGGATCATTCTAACATACATATTACATGATAAATGCATACATGAAAAAATGCTATGTGAGATCTGAGTGGGAAGGTCATTTCTGACCTGGGATCAAGGAAAGGGTTAAAGATTTATTC